CTGCACTGGTCAAGCACCTCTTTCTTGAAACACTGTTATCTTCTAGCGTTGCTTACTTCAAACACCGCTCTCTTCTGGTACTTATTAGTTCAAACACTGCTCTCTTCTAAGCCCCCCCACACACACACACACACACACACACACACACTTCAAACACTGCTTTCTTCTAGCCCCTCCTACTTCAAACACTGCTCTCTTCTAAACCCCCCACACACACACACACACAAACACAAACACACACACACACACACTTTAAACACTGCTCACTTCTAGCCCTTCTTACTTTAAACACTGCTCTCTTCTAGTACTTCGTACTTTAAACACTGCTCTCTTCTAGTACTTCGTACTTTAAACACTGTTCTCTTCTAGTACTTCTTACTTTGAACACTGCTCTCTTCTAGTACTTCGTACTTTAAACACTGCTCTCTTCTAGTACTTCTTACGTTAAATACTGCTCTCTTCTAGTACTTCATACTTTAAACACTGCTCTCTTCTAGTACTTCTTACGTTAAACACTGCTCTCTTCTAGTACTTCTTACTTTAAACACTGCTCTCTTCTAGTACTTCTTACTTTAAACACTGCTCTCTTCTAGTACTTCTTACTTTGAACACTGCTCTCTTCTAGTACTTCATACTTTAAACACTGCTCTCTTCTAGTACTTCTTACGTTAAACACTTCTCTCTTCTAGTACTTCGTACTTTAAACACTGCTCTCTTCTAGTACTTCTTACTTTAAACACTGCTCTCTTCTAGTACTTCATACTTTAAACACTGCTCTCTTCTAGTACTTCTTACGTTAAACACTGCTCTCTTCTAGCACTGCTTACTTCAAACACTGCGTTCTTCTAGTTGTGAAGCGGCTAAGATCAAGTTTCCATTAAAAAAGTGCATTAAATGATAAAACACAACAGTTGGTATGAGGCTTTGGTTTCTAGAAAAATGATGATAATACACAAGTTTATGTTCCTAAAATATTTTAGTAGAAATTGAAAAGTCATAGTGACACAATAATCTTCTTCTCTTACAGGCCTCGTGTCAGTTATACGACAAATGACATGTTACGATATTGAATTTGGACTTCATACTGAAGGCCATGATGAACTATATATCCATGGACATTAATCATGCAATAACCCTACACATGTTGGTGCATATGCTTTGAAAACTATAATTACCAAAATTAAAGTGGTAACTGCATCACAATTTAATCTGATTTCAACAAAAACAAAACTGAAATTGATTGAGTTACAATTTAAAGTCACATCGGACAGTATTTCAGCCATACCGTGACTAAGAAATCTGTAAATTTATAAATGAATAAAAACAAATTTATATAATATACTTACCTGTCTGCAAATTAGAGTAAAACAAATTATCACAGATGTAAATTTAAAACAAGTAATTAAATCTAAATAATTTTAACTGTAAATGACAATACATTATAAATTGTATATTCATACATACTCTATATGGGATTTATGTCGGGGCTCTTGCCGGCCAAGAACCGTTTGAGACCTTCACAAAGGAAAGAAAAAAACAGTATATGTTTGTTACGTATTATTGTAACTTTGATGAAAAAAAGTGAAATGGGGTAAAGAAGAGCTGGAAACGATGAAAAGTGACGTAGAACTCATTTCAGGGTGTACATTAGGCGTCAGTCACTTGGGGAAATTTAGAAGATTTAGATAGTCATCAAGAAACCGATATTGACATCATACATCATACTTCATGCTGCTCATGTTGCAAAGCAAGGCGATGAAAATATTATGTTACGAACAGTAGCTACAGATGTTGTAGTGCTTGCAGTAGCACTCAAAACATGAATCCCACCAACACAATGAGCTATTTACAGCATGTAAGAACCAGCTTACCAGTCAGGACATATAAGGGGTAAGTCGCTTCTTCCACAGCCTTAACTCTGTATACAACAGGAAAGGGGTAATTATGTTCCCTAATGGATTACACTTTACCACGCATCAACGTCTTGTCAGGAGGTGGTATTTTGTGGCTGCAGAAAGGGGTGCAACAACATATACAAGTGCAAACAGTCGTCACTGGAGGTGTGAGGGGCAATGCTAATAAACTTGACTCTCCTTTATTATAAAGACATTTAACCAGAAGTGTGGGTATTTATTATTTTAGTTAAAATTTCCCTGTAATGCACTATGGCCTTTTCAAACTAAAACAGTAGCGACAAAAGGCAAAGCAGTATTTACCTTCTGCAAACGCCCGTGAAGATGCGAGTTTGAATTCTGGAATCCATGCTTGTCGTAAGAGGCAACTGATGGGGTGGGGCGTTCAGGCTCGCTAACATTTCTCAAGCAACCCACACCCTTTTGCAGCGAATACAGCACGTTTCATTATGTTGAGTGTAACATTCTACTGTAGGCTTGCCATGGGTATATGTGTGAAGGCTCGTTTGTGTAACTCGAGGGTTTGTGGGAGGCTGATGTCAAATTTTAGACCCATGAATATTCGGGTTAAACAACAGGATCGCTTTGTCAGGCTCGCTGACTTGGTTGGCATATGCCTTCGTACTCACACTGCGTAGATCCATGCTCATGCTGTCGATCACTGGGTTGTCTGGCCAAGAGTCGATTGTCTACAGACCGCTTCCATATAGCAGGAATAGTGCGGCGTTAAGAACAAGCAAAACAGTCTGCGTATGCGCAAAATGAACTTATGTTGAGTGCCTCCATATCTGAAAATCTTCACTATGAATCAGTCAATGAATGTGCAAAGTTTTATGCTTTTATCATTAAATGCACAATTTATCTGTTTAGCCGCTCCACTATAGTACTTCTTACTTCAAACACTGCTTTCTCCTGGCACTGCTTACTTCAAACACAACCCGTGAACATCCGGGTTAGAATTAGTTTTCAGTAACCAATGTTTGTCGTAAGAGGCGACTAACGGGATCGGGTGGTCAAGCTCGCTGACTTGGTTGACACAAGTCATCGGTTCCTAAGTGTGTAGATCGATGCTCATGATGTTGATCACTTGATTGTCTGGTCCAGACTCACCGCCATATAGCTGGAATATTGCTGATTGCGGCGTAAAACGTAACTCACTCACTAGTGCTTGACACATCATTAGTATTGGCGTACAATTTGCCAGTTGTCATGTGGTGAAGCCCATAAAAGCCTGTCTACACGGATGCGACAGAATCATGGTTGAATCGGCCTCACTTAGGTACAGTTTTACGATTGACCTTGTTGGATGGTGGCGTCAAGATGAGTCTTGATGTCACAATGCATGTTTATCGGAAGTACGTATTTTTACTCTATAACTTTGGTAATTCGTCACGCCAGTCAGCAGTTGTGTGGTTGATGCAATTTAGTTTATTGAGGTATGAGTGTAGGGGTGAGGGTGTTTAGATGGATGGATGCATACATGTATATACACTGTACATATATATATATATAATCTCTTTTCTAGGCAACCAGACAAGTTCAGCACAGTTTCATCATAGCGATTGATAGTTGTGACAACCATCTTCGACCCCACTCCAGACATCAAGTTCATGGCAGAGATACCCGGGTGGAAGGTTGGTGTTGTCGGAGACACCAAGACTCCAAAGGACTGGAGGTAATATCAGGGTCTATGTGCATACTCACAGGCGAAAGTGAATGGTGATTGAACGATTAACGATTCCTAAGGTGGAAACAATGTGGATATACATGATAAGATATATTACTGATTGTTGATTCTTAAACTAAACTGAAATGATAATATTTATGTATTACCATTTCAGGCACCAAACCTGTGTATGTATAAGCTTAGAAGACCCATGTAGCCTCGGTTTTGAATCAGTCACTTGTGCCGGAAGGGAGTTATACCAGAAAGATACTAGGATATCCCATAATGCAACTGTAATTATGAGACTGATGATGATAATCGTCCTCTTGATCGTCTGAAATCCTTCATACTAGATCCAACAATGTGGGTAATCTTGTACAGAGGGGAAAGACTCTTTCATCCATATCGTCATTTTGGACAGCCGACTTTGTAGCCAAGAGGCAATCCACTTGGGTCTGCAAGGGAAGTCTGACATGAGAATATTTACTAATTCACTGGAAAACTCCGTCCATTCAGCAGGGTGTTGTCAACGGAGACCCGGATATGTGTGTTATGTTCAGACTGACCCGGAAACAAACTAGTTCCCAGCTGAATGTGACCTTCGATGTGAGAACTCCACCAGCACTTGTTCTCTCCTTTTAATTCCCAGAATACCCCTTTTCTGTGCGATGCATTATGGACACTCCTGATTCCAGCCCCACCAACATTCCGAGTGTGTGATATCTGGAGAGGCTACTGAGCTCAGAGACTGCTGTGGGAGATCGAAGGAAACGTTGGATTCATCCCGCCAAATGCTGTCCAGAAGAGGAACGTCCACTCCTACCTGAGCGACGCTAAAGAAGAGACTAACCTCTATGTCCAGACCGAGCGCCTTGTTGATTTTCTGACCAAATAGAGGTGAGGGACAGTTTTGACGTTCTTGTGTGACTCAATTGTCATCTGACAAGGCACATGAAACCTTCTGGAAGGAAAGGGATGCAAAACTCTCGTCACGAGGGATTTCGTTTCACTTGGCTACAAGGAACCACAAAGATTTTTCTTTTTGTTCTCTTAAAGACGGTGCTCAATGCATATCCCAGATATCAATTTCACGTTGTGACAACGTTATTACATCGTTGTGACAACGTTATTACAACGTTGTGACAACGTTATGCTTTCGTTGTTTTAACGTTATTCTGTGGACTCCCATTTACGTTGTCACAACGTTGTGGCCTGACGTTGTGATACGTCATTTTTCATTATTACGTCGCCACAAGGTTAAGTTATTTGATGCTAACGTATTTACGTTGTCTTAACGTTCTATTTAACGTTAATAGTTGAACTGATACACAATCACCAGCCATTGTTCCGCATGCCGCTCATATAGCTTCATATTGCAGCAATCACCCTTTTACAACGTCTAAACTAACACCAGTCATGACTTATCCAAACATTGTGGGTGTGGACGTCTTATGTGGAGAGATGAAAACGTGGTAGGAGGAGAGGTGTGGGCGTGGTGGGAGTAGAGGTTTGGACGTGGTTAGAGGAGAAGTGTGGACGTGTTGGGAGGAGAGGTGTGGACGTGTTAGGAGGAGAGCTGTGGACGTAGTGGGAGGAGAGCTGTGGACGTAGTGGGAGGAGAGGTGTGGACGTTGTGGGAGGAGACTTGTGGGCGTGGACGTGGCTGGAAGAGATGTTTGGACGTAGTTGATGAAGAGGTTTCGACGTGGTGGGAGGAGATGTGTGGACATTGTTGGTGGAGATGTGTGGACATTGTTACTGGCGATGTGTGGACGTGTTGGGATGAGAGGCGTGGACGTAGTGGGAGGGGACTTGTGGGCGTGGTGGGAGGAGATTGTGGGCGAAGCTGGAGGAGATATGTGGACGTAGTGGCTGAAGAGATTTGGACGTGGTGGGAGAAGAGTTGTGGAATTAGTGGGAGGAGAAGTATGGACTTGTTGGGAGGGGAGGTGTGGACGTGTTTGGAGGGGAGGTGTGGACGTGTTGAGAAGAGATGTGTGGACGTGTTGGGCGGGAAGGTGTGGACGTGTTGGGAGGGGAGGTGTGGACGTGTTGGGCGGGGAGGTGTGGACGTGTTGGGAGGGAGGTGTGGACGTGTTGGGAGGGGAAGTATGGACGTGTTGGAAGGGGAAGTGTGGACGTGTTGGGAGGGGAGGTGTGGACGTGTTGGGAGGGGAGGGGAAGTATGGACGTGTTGGGAAGAGACGTGTGGACGTGGTGGAATGAACATTATTCTTGATCCAAGTGAGGTCAACTAATAATATGATGCTTCCTTTAACAGAAGTACGTTTAGTAACACAAGTGACGATGGGGTGTTTTCCTGAACTCCCAGACACTGCCATCAGATCTATCCCGATCCCTATGGAATCTCCCTAGTTAAGATAAACATAGCACCAAAGTATTAACATTAACAATGATGATTATTCTTGATCCAAGTGAGGTCAACCAATACCATTATATTGCTTCCGTTAACAAGAGTACGTGTATAGTCTGACATTTATAGTCAACCCACATTACATTTCCTGATGGGGAGGGGCATATGATCACACGAGATCATATATCTCACGTAGAATACCTCACAAAAGAATTTCCTTCACTCACAGATATTGTTTTTGACAGTTTTACAGTGTGACCAAAAAAAATGTGATTTTTGTTAAAATACTTCTTCGTCTTGGAGACTGGTCCAAACTCAAAGTAGGATCCAGGCACCATGAAAACATTCTTAAACTTTTCTATTCCACGGCAAACTGTGGGAAATAGCAACTCAATATACAAGTGAAATCTGGGGAAATGTTGCATGTAATGATGGAAAACATCTTTATATTGTTCAGGTACATAGTGAATATCTCATGAGCCAATATTGAACCCGTCTCTCTTCCTTGAATGGGTGAAAAACGTTCTTGTGAAACTGTCGTATCTGTGACTATCCACAGCTTTCAGGGTTGTAGACCAGCCTTGTATGCCAGCATACCTACTTTGGGATGCTCAACCCGATGACCAACTGCCTTTTAAGACAGTATAATACAATACAATAGAATTATACAATATAGTATATTAAAGTCTCACTATTTGTACAACAAAGGTTTAAAATATAGCATTTTGAATATTAAAACGTAAAACTACAAATGCCACCCAAAAGGATTATGAGAGACTGTTTTACAAAATACTAAATACTTTATTAAATAGGGTAAAATGATGTATATACCATATTGCTATAATTTAAAAATATAAATATATAAAACGTGTATGATACGATATATATGAATATGAAATATCAAATGTATGTAAACTTATATACATAAAATAATTTCCTACGCATAATCATTTTGAAGCACATGCTTCCTAAAAGTGGTAAATTGCCATGATTATATGAGAAGGTAATATTGTACAACAGCTGTGTGATAAACCCAGAGTTTGTTTAGCGGCATCTTATGAATGTTCCACGCGTTAAGCAGAACATCGTCCCGTATGAGTAAGTAGCCGTCAACTCGAAACTGCGTCTTCATCACTTTTATCAAACAGTGTTGAAAATGCCAGCCATTACTATGGTCAATTTCCATGAATGTCAAAGGCTTGGGAAGTAACTTAACGTGGTTGTGGAATTCAGCTTTCTTGGCTCCACAGTGCACAATGTGAGGGAAATGACTGCCGTACATTGTCTCCTGAACTTGTAGGTTCTCATAGTGCGGACAGTTAAACAGTCAGACAGACAGGTTTATTTAAGTCTCACTCGTAGTACATATAAAAACATATATAACTTCAAGTGCATATACAATATAAATAAAATATGCTACGACCAGTTGCTCCGAGACTTATGAGACACATCTTAATCATTAATAAAATTAAATATTCATAATATATATTTACAAAAAACAGCTGTATAAAATGGTAATGTAAATTAGCCATATAAAATTTTACGTGTTTTAACTAACATATCATGGCAGGTTTTGACAACGCTAAATGCTACATCGGGGGGAAGTAAACATATATAAATCCTTAAAATGAATGTTATTAAGAACACATTTTAGCATATGATCTTTTCTATTACTGTTAAAAGCTGGTCATAAAAATAAAACATGGATTTCATCCTCGACTACATTTTGGCAATTAAAACAAACTTTCTCGTTGTGCGGTATATTTTCATATGTTCCCGTTTCAACTCTTTTTGGGGCCGATCCACATCTGAACTTTGCAAAAGCACTTCTGTGACCTCGGGAAAGCGGACACTAACATACCGTTCTGTTTCATATTTTGTATTAAAAAGTCTATAGTTTTTCAATTTGTTTCCCCCTTCGTCATTTATCTTCTCTCCCCATCCTTGCTTATGTACCGTATACATGTACATAGCTTCTTGCACGTTCGTGATGAATAGCTTCTTTTCCAGGTGGTGGTCGATATCTGTAAGGTGTTCGAATCCAAGGGTTACAAGATAGGTTCTGACTTTTTTCTCTTTTAAACACTACAATTAACACAATGTTTGGATACGTCATGACTGGTGTTTGTTCAGACGTTGTAAATTGGTGATTGCTCCTCATAATACGTCCACGCCTCTCCTTCACCACGTCCACACCTCTCCTTCACCACGTCCACACCTTCCGCCCACCACGTCATCACCTTCCGCCCACCACGTCCACACATCTCCTCCAAACAGTCAACACCTCTCCTCCCAACACGTCCACACATCTCCTCCGAACACGTCCACACCTCTCCTCCCAACACGTCCACACCTCTCCTCCCAACACGTCCACACCTCTCCTCCCAGCACGACCACACATGTCCTTCCCCCAACACGTCCACACCTCTCTTCCCAACACGTCCACACCTCTCCTTCACCACGTCCTAACCTCTCTTCCCAAACCGTCCAACCAACACGTCCACACCTCTCCTACCAACACGTTCACACCTCTCCTCCCAACACGTCCACACCTCTCCTTCATCACGTCCACACTTCTCTTCCCAACACGTCCACACCTCTCCTTCCAACACGTCCACACATCTCCACCCAACACGTCCAAACCTCTCCTCCCAACACGTCCACACCTCTCCTCCCAACACGTCCACACCTCTCCTCCCAACACGTCCACACCTCTCCTTCACCACGTCCACACCTCTCTTCCCAACACTTCCACACCACTCCTCCCAACATGTCCACACATCTCCACCCAACACGTCCACACCTCTCCTCCCAACACGTCCACACCTCTCCTTCAACACGTCCACACCTCTCCTTCACCACGTCCACACCTCTCTTCCCAACACGTCCACTCCTCTACTCCCAACACGTCCACACCTCTCTACGCAACACGTCCACACCTCTCCTCCCAACACGTCCACCCCTCTACACCTACCACGTCCATACCTCCCCTCCTACCACATCCACACCTTTCCTCCCACCACGCACAAGTAAAAAAGGTTATTTACAAAAGAAATATATAATTCGTAGAGTTCATATTTACAAAAAAGTAATATCTTGTAAAGATCACATTTACAAAGCTTGTAAATGTTTGTAAATTTAGGATGGATTTTACCGCTATTTCTTACAGTTACTCCCTTCATTTGCAGAAAAGAAGGAATTATCAAAAATGTAAAACAAACTTCCGTTCAATAACATTTTCATCAACATTACGATATTGACCATGGAACGTATATTTCAATGTAATAATACGCTAGGTTCCTCATTCACACATACCATACAAACGGATCTCAACACAAAACAAATTCAGCACAATGCCATCAATCAATACAATATAACTTTCACTGCCTGTGCAATCCATTCCGTTGATGACGAATCTCTCAGGTGCATTAGAGCGATGATCTTATGTTGAACCAACCTACAGCTCAGCAGAAACAATTACAACCAGCTGTTCATCCACTATACAAGGAGCGTAGTACTAATTGTAGCTCATGGGCAAATTTTAAGTAATGTGATACGCCACATCTAGTCTCGGATTTTTTACCGAAAAATTGGTTCCTGAATTACATTCTTCATCACCTGTAGGTTGTTTACAATCACACAAAGATGACGTTTTGGAAAGAAATAGTATATTTGTATTGTTTTCGCCGCAGCTACATGAGTCCAATATTCTCAAAATCACCTATGCGTTTCTTTGTTTGAAGAGGGTATGTTAGGATCTTGCATATTCTCATTTGCACAGCTTTTAGTGGTATATATTATGTGGAGAAATATCTTATTTGATTCGGGCGGCGGGGTAACCTAGTGGCTAAAGCGTTGGCTCGTCACGCCGAAGACCCGGGTTCGATTCCCCACATGGGCACAATGTGTGAAGCCCATTTCTGCTGTCCCCCGCCGTGTCATTGCTGGAATATTGCTAAAAGCGGCGTAAAACTAAACTCACTCACTCTTATTTGATTCAGAAAAAAAATGTTCTCGGTCTACAAAATGTTCGGGTTAAAGTAACACTCAACCGTAACTACTCGTGAAGATCCGGGTTAGAATATTGCTCTTCAGTAACCCATGCTTGTCGTAAGAGGCGACTAACGGGATCGGGTGGTCAGGCTCGCTGACTTCGTTGACACATGTCATCGGTTCCCAATTGCGCAGATCGATGTTCATGCTGTTGATCACTGGATTGTCTTGTCCAGACTCGATTATTTACAGACCGCCGCCATATAGCTGGAATATTGCTGAGTGCGGCGTAAAACTAAAATCACTCACTCACTCACTCACTCAACCGTTAGGGTTAGGGTTAGGAACTAGCGTCTGTCACACATCACTGATTACAAGCGCCACACAGGGATATTGTGTGGAGGGCATGTGCCACACAGCTCACACTTTCAGTTAATTAGGTGTAATGAAACCCAAATTTCAGCCAGGTATCCAGTTCAAATCAAACTACAATATTTTATCATGCAGTGTGACGATTTATCGAATTCCGAACCTGCATTTATTACAACTATGTTTAAAGTAGACTATATACCATATATTGAATATAATGGCAATGGTGTCTAAATGGCCCAAGTTGGCAGGGCGGTTTTACTTGTATGTATGTAAGCAAATCAATCATGTATCGCTAGACACTAGAATAAATTATGTTTCTTCTTCTTCTTTCTTCTTCTTCTTCTGTAATGAGGTATGAATGAGTTAGTTAAGTATTACTTTACTCAGGAGCTACTGTGTTTGTCCATCCATACTGAGAAGGAACTGGTTAACTGTTTATCTGGAAATAGGGATGGATATAATATCAGTTATCATGTCACCGATCAAACATACATCATGGAAGATATAGGAGAGCTTGCCGAAGGACATCAGCCGTCACATAGAAGACGAGTCCAGGACGACAACACCAAAATCTACCCATCTCAAATGCCACTCCACCCCAGC